GGGACTAGCAGCGTGGGGCGGTGCCTGGAGGGTGGACTGGGCTAGGAGGGTGAGGTGGGGTGGGATGGAAATGGGGCTGGGGGTCTTCTGAGGGCAGGGGGGCAGCAGGACTGGGAGGGTGGGGCCGGGCCAGGCAGCCCTGCAGTTGCAGAAGCCCAGTGGAGGCAGCCGGGGAAGCCCTGAGAGGAGCAGACCTGTCCAGCCTGGGCTCTGCAGGCTCTGGTGGGAGGGCTGTCCACCATCCCCTCCCAGACGGCTGTCATGAGTTGTCTGCACAGACACCCCTCCCTCACCATCTGCAGCCCCCGGGCATATGTCCCCGCACAAGACCGACCCTGGTTCCCTGGTCACCTCAACGCCTCCCCTCAGGCCCAAGCCCCACCTGCCGCTCCTTAGAAGCTCCGTGGTGCCCGCACAGGCACCCAGTGCCTCGAGGTGGCTGCCTGAGACAGTGACAGTAAGGGCAGCTGGCTGTTGTGGACACATCTCGTCTGGCTGTGGCCTAGGGGCGTCTCCTCTGCTGGGTCTGCCCACCAAAGTCCTGGCTGCCTGACCCCTGGCCCCTCTCTTCATCTGCTCAGCTGCGTCCCTCTGCGTGGCCAGCAGAGGGCGCCCAGCCCCACTCCTTGAGTGGCTAGTTGGCTGATGGATTCAACTAGGTGGATGGCTCTGCTTGAAGGGCTGTCAGTGCGGGCTACTCAGGCCCGTGTGGGTCACTGGGACTCTCAGAACTGGGCCCCACGCAGCCCCTGCCCTGGCCCAGCGTGACCACCCTCTGGGCAGTGGTGGCTGGAGGAGAAGCTTCACAACCAGCCTCTCCCCGGTACTCCCTGCCTCCCCCGGTCGGTGGCTTCCTGGGAGGGCTCGCGTCTTTCCTGGGCCTGGAAGGCCCTTCCCCATGTTTGTCTGTCGATGTCCTCTGTGTGCCTGACCCATCAGCATCGTGCACCTCTCCCGTCCCACTGGGCGGAGAGTCTGAGAGCAGGGGATGGAGGGCTCTCACTCATAGCCCCTCAGCACGGGCCTCTCCAGGGCCACTGGGCTGGCCTGGGGCCTTGGCGAGTGCTGACGGGCCCCTGCCTGTGTGCTGTGCCTGAGGGACCTTGGCTGGAGGTCGATGGGGGGACTGTGTCTTTGGCTTGTATGCTCTGGTGGTCTGAGGGCTGAATCGGAGGTCGGGGGGAGAGCAGGGGCCTGGGTGGCCGCTCGGACACCAGGAGGAGGCCAGCGGGTGGAGGGCGAGCCAGCCAGAGAGTGTCTGTCCGGCTGCAGAGGTATTACGAGCAGTACCACGGCTTTGTGGTCATCCACGGCACCGACACCATGGCCTTCGCTGCCTCTACGCTCTCCTTTGTGCTGGAAAACCTGCGGAAGCCTGTAATCTTCACCGGGGCCCAGGTGACGAGGCCGTCCAGAATGGGGTCCCCAGCAGGGAAGCAGAGTGGGGGGTCCCGGGCGCAGGCGGGCATCATCACAGCTGTCGAGGGTCAGGGTTGGCCTGGCCGGGGTGTCTGTGGCCTGCCTTCTCTGAGCGGCCCAAGCGCACCCAGCCCTCCCTGCTCTCAGACAAGGGGCCGATCCTGCCTGTGGGTTCCCCATGCCCCTCTGGCCGCCGGCCTGCTCGGTGACTGCCCATGGGGTCTCCCCCAGGTACCGATCCATGCTCTCTGGAATGACGGCCGCGAGAACCTGCTGGGGGCGCTGCTGATGGCTGCCCAGTACCTGATCCCCGAGGTGCCCGTGCTTGGCTGGGGCTTGACGGGCAGAGGGGTTGGCTGCGTGGGCCGGGGGCTGGACGCCAGCTCTCAGGGATCCTGGGGGCAGGGGGCACACAAGTGGGTTTAAAGAGTTCGTTGTTTTACTTCACACGGGATGCATGATGCATGAAAAACAAAAACTGGAGAAAGTGGGTGCGCCAGTCACCCTCACTCTTCCCAGAAACACCATCAGCAGTGTGGTGGTTTCCTCCCAACTTCCATTTTGACGCCTGGCTGGTGTGAATGGGGAGCATGTTGTTGTTGTTGTTGTTATGTGCCGTCGAGTCGGACCCGACCCATAGCGACCCCTCCTTGGGTTTCTGAGGCAGTATCACTATGGAAGTAGATTGCCCCATCTTCCGTCCGAGGAGTGGCTGGTGGGTTTGAACCGCCAGCCTTCTGGTTAGCAGTCAAGTGCCTTAGCCTCTGCCACAGAGCATAGTAGGCTGCAAACAGAGGGCTGGAGGTCGGAGTCCACCCAGTGCTGCCTCAGGAGATAGGCTGGCCGTCCGCTTGTGAGAAATCAGCTTGGGGTCCTGACACCCACGGGTTCCGGAGCCAGAGTGGACCCCACGGCAACGGGGTTTCGCATCACACGTGTGTGTACGTGACACGTATCTGTAAACGTGGACAGCACCGAATGCGGACTTGGAGTCTGCACTCTTCTTTCCCCGTTTCCGGCAGCTTCTCAGGGAGGCGTTTACAAGGGCTCCCTCCCCACCGCTCCTGCTTGGCCGGGGGGCCCCTTCTGTCTTGGGTGTTTCCCTTCCTGCGGGGGTGCGCCTTTGTTTGGGGGCAGCAGTTCCAAGACCTGCTTTGCTGTCCCCGGCTGTCCTGTCCCGGGCTGGGGGGCCAGGCTGGGCCTCCCTGAGGGAACCAGCACTGGGCAGTGGAGGCTGGGGTCTACTTGTGTTCATGAGGGTGGCCCCTGCAGGACTGTGGCTTTGCCATGGCGGTGAAAGGGTGTGTGAGCTGGGGGCTGCTGCCTGCAAGGCTGCTCCTAGGAGCTCTTTTGTCGGGGACCTCCTCTCTGCGTGTGGTGAGGGGGCCCTCCTGGGGTACAGGCTCTCCTGCTGTCTGCAGGGAGGGAGCCAGATGGCGAGTGGGGGCTCCGGTGGCGGCCCTGCGCTGAGCCGCACCCCTCCCTTCCCTCAGGTCTGTCTGTACTTCCAGAACCAACTGTTCCGGGGCAACAGGGCCACCAAGGTGGACTCTCGGAGGTTCGCGGCTTTCTGCTCCCCCAACCTGCCCCCTCTGGCCACCGTGGGCGCTGACATCATAAGTAAGCTGAGTAGCACCAGCAGGGTGGGTGCGGCCGGCTCTCTCCGGGGCTGGTGGGGGCGGCATGCTGGGTCCTGCCTCACCCGTCGGCTTCTGCCCTGGGCCATGGAGAAGCCAGAGGGCAGCGTGGGGGGAGGAGCATAGGGGCCACAGGTCACTGTGGGCTTGGAGCTCGAGGAGCAGGATTGGGGGTCTTCCTTGGCCGTGTGGACCCCAAGCCAGGCCTCTGTGCCTTTGTCCTGCCTGGACATGGCACTGCAGGTTCCTGGAGTGTGGCCTCATCCTTGCAGCCTCCCTGGGAGTTCTGGGGACGTCCTCTGTGCTCTGCGCCTGCTGGGTCGGTCTTGAGGCTACCCCTCCACAGGCCAGAGCCCTTTGGGGAGGTCTTGCCCTGGGTGCCAGGGCCTCGTTCCCAGGATGGCTGTGGTACACGGTGGCGCTGGCTCGTGAACCAGCCCCCTGCCTACCCTGTGTGGTGGTGTCAGCCCCTCCTGTCCCAGGCCTGGCCACCCAGGCAGGGAGGAAAGTGTGGGTGGGGACCAAGTCCCCCTTCTCTGGGGCTCCGAGTGGCGCTTCCTGGAGACCCAGTGGCTGGGGAGCAGAGGTGGCAGACCCGGACCCTAAGGCCTCTGTCACGTCAGCCCAGATGGAGGCAGGGAGCCCTCTGCCAGGCCATGTCAGCCCAGACGGAGGCAGGGAGCCCTCTGCCAGGCCACGTCAGCCCAGACGGAGGCAGGGAGCCCTGCGGACGCAGACCTGAGGGTGGCACTAAGCTTGTCTCCCACGCCAAGTCCTGGGCTGCCAACTGGCCAGGGCACCAACGTGTGGTGCCTGAGAACCCGATGCCTTGCACCCCCGATGGCAGCCTGGTCTGGCACCTGGCGCTGAGAGGCTTCAGAGTCAGAGCAAGGCCCCGGGGAACAGTGGCGTCAGGGCTGAGGCTGGCCCCAGGCTAGGTCAGGGCCATCCCGCCTGCTTTCCGTAAGGCCACCATCGGGTCCCTGTCCAAGTCAGGGTGAGGGCAGGTGGGGTGTCCTTGTGTGGTGCTCACCCCTGACCCCGCCGAATCCCTCAGGGAACCTGGGTCAGGAGGCCTGCCTGGCCTCAGCGCCGGTCGGGCGGGGTGGTGTAGGGGTAGCAGCGGCCCTGCCTTTCCTGGGTGTCCAGGCTGCCCTGTCCTTGCCACCGGCTCCTGGGCTTAGAGGAGGACTCGGGGCCGCTGTGAGAGCCTGTCTCCACCCGGCACCTTCTTGCCCTGAGTCCGCCCCCCGCCCAGGTGCATCTCACTGGGTGGTCAGGTTGCCTGGTTCCAGCCCAGCCTGCCTCCCACTCGCAGTGGCCACGCAGTGCCCCAGTGTCCTCCTTGGTACCCTGGATGGTGCCACCTGCCCCAGGCATGCTGGGCTGCCCAGGCCGCCTGTGGACCTGGTGACAGTCATCTCTCCCTCCAGGGTGTCAGTGGTGCCGCCACCCTGTCTCTAAGGCACCTGCCGCTGGGGGTGGGGGGCCCAGGGGGGAGCCGGTGAGGGAAGGACTTGGGGTGCAGAGAGGACCCCTCTGGCTCTAGGAGCACTGGCCCCGGCCATTGGCCAGCCAAGGGGCAGTACAGGGTCCTTGATGTGGCTACTGTGGGCAGCCGCTCCGTGAACGCCCCTCTGGAGCCGCAACTCTGGGGACAGGGGTGGCAGCAAGCACCTTATCAGCTCTCCCAGAGGACGTCTAATTTGAGGTGAGGATTTCAGCTGGAGAGCAGATAAGGAGCAGGGGCTGATGGGTGCTCTGGCCGCAGGGGAGGGGAGTGGAGGGCCTGGCTCCGTCCTCTCGCCTCCAGCTGCTCGTCTCCCAGGGGTCCGAGAAGCAGCCAGTGTCCAGAATGGCTCTGTTTATTACACACGGATTCGCTGGGGCTCCAGGCTTGGCGTGCCTGCATGCGGCGGGGAGAGGAGGTGTCCTGCTGGGGGTCCGGGAGCCCCCTTTTCACCTCCTCCCCTTTCTCGTCCTGGCCCTGCACCTGGCTCCGTGACCTCAGTTTCCCCGGGCTGCAGGAGGGGGCCTCTGTGGCCCCTGCTCTCCTCAGCAGCCTCGGGCAGCCCAGTCCTTGGCCCCGGCTCCTGGGCTTAGAGGCCAGTTGCCTGGCTGCTCCTCTGCCCGGAAGTTGAGGCGGTCAGTGGCTCGGTCACACTGTGCACACACTGACCCTCTAGGTTCCAGAGGTGCTCTGGGCAGGGGGCCGAGTGTAAGGGGTGCTGACTCGCCACATCTGCCCCTCTGTGCCTTGCAGGGCCTGTCATTCTGGATGTGTGGAGGAGGCGGGGGCGGGCTAGGCTTCTGACTTGGGGGCTTTCTTGCCCCAAAGGTGAAGGGTCCAGAGACCCATCCATCCATCCGTCCATTCCCTCCTTGGGTCACTATCCCTTGCTCCTTCAGCTTGCGTGCTGGGTGGCGTGTAGGTGTGGGTCAGGTGGGGCCAGGTGTCTGCTTAGTGAGGGGGCCAAAGCTGCCTGGTCAGAGGATGCTTGGGAAGGTGGGGACGTGGTGGGCGGAGGGGACGTGGTGGGAGCGGGGGACGTGGTGGGCGGAGGGGATGTGGTGGGAGGAGGGGATGTGGTGGGCGTCTACCTCAGCCACTGGGCAGTGAGCACCTGTAGGGACGCAGCACCCCAAAGTGCTTCCAGTTCCCAGCGGGTTCCCTGGGCCCCCTGAGTTCCGTGCCTGTGGTCCCTCAGCCAGGAACACTGTTAGCCACTCCTCTGCAGCTGTGAGGCTCTGCTTCCCTCGCCCCTCCCAGGGCCACTCACCCTCGTCACCCACCCCTACCTCCTCCAGCCCCTGGGTCCACTGCAAGCTTGGCTCCTTGGATGAATGACCAAGGGCAGGAGGACTTGGTGGGGATGCAGTCTAGCGGGGCAGGAGGGGTTGCTGCCCGGTTCTAGGCTGTGAGGACTGGTGGGGATCCACAGGAGTGGGTGTTGCTGGCAGGCTCCCCCAGGCCCCTTCCATCCCCTGTCCTCAGTCAACCAGCAGCTGGTGCGGAAGGTTCGTGGACAGGACCCGCTCGTGGTGCACAGCGGCTTGGAGCGTGACGTGGGCGTGCTGCGTCTGTACCCTGGGATCCCCGGCTCCCTGGTAGGCCCCGCCCACTCCTCCGAGCACCCCCTGCAGACCCTGTGCCCACCCGGCCAGGGCAGACCGCCACTGGGAATCCCAGCATGGGTGACGGTGCCCCCCTGGGAGCCCTTCCAGCAGGAACCCTGATGTGCCCCCATCACCCCAGGCCCACTTGTTGGGGGCAGACATGGTGGCCCAGCCCTGGGGGTCCTGGGCCATGTCCCCGGCAGCCAGGACAGGGCAGGGCTGAGTCAGCAGTGGGGCCATCCTGGGACCGTCCCTGTGTGAGTTGCTACCGGACACAAGACCCGTCCTCTGCCTTCCGGCTGGAGCCTTGTGTACTCGAGGGGTGTAGGGGCTACTGGCCCTCGGGCCTTCTGTTTGCTTTCCCAAATTCCTGACAGGTCAGAGCAGGTAGCTGCCAGGCCGGGGGTGGCCAAGGGGTCCAGGTGGGGTAGCTCCTGGGGCCCTGGTGTCCCCTCAGCTCCCCCTGGCCTCGTCTCAGGCTTTTCCACAGGGCCTGATCTGTGGCCATGCCAGGTGCGGCCTCTCGGCTTGCACACAGGTGGCCTTTGGAGGGGGTGGTCTCCGATGGATGCTCCTGGATGTAGGGACAGCCCTGCAGTGCCTCTGGCTGGCGGTCCCCTCTGCTTTGGGGCCAGTGTCCGTCCTCTACAGAGAGGAGGGAGCCAGGCGGCCAGGTCTGCTAGGCTGTCCCCAGAGCCACGCCCTCACCTGTCGTCCCCCAGGTCCGGGCCTTCCTGCAGCCTCCCCTCAAGGGCGTGGTCCTGGAGACCTTTGGCTCGGGCAATGGGCCCACCAAGCCTGAGCTGCTGCAGGAGCTGCGGGCCGCGGCCAGCCGGGGCCTGCTCATTGTCAACTGCACCCACTGCCTCCAGGGCCCTGTGACCTCGGACTACGCTGCTGGCGTGGTGGGCGGGGACTGGTGGCCGGGGCATGGAGGGGGTCTCTGGAAGGGCGGTGGGCGGGGATCAGTGGCCTGGGCGCAAGGAGAGGCAGGACAGAGGGTGCATGACCACTCGCCTCCCTGAAGGCCTTGGTGGGCACCGGCCTGGTCCCCGGCTCTGACATGACCTCGGAGGCTGCGCTGGCCAAACTGGCTTATGTGCTGGGGCTCCCGGGGCTGAGCCTGGACGACAGGAAGCAGGTGTGCAGGGCCCTCGGAGGGCGGTGGGCCGAGCACTGCCTGGGGTGACTCGGGAGAGTGTGGGGCCAGCCCAGGGTGTGGAATATGGGGGGACCTGGGGGGGCTGGGGTGCAGGCTGCGGGTCTCCCCAGTGCTCCCATATGCCCTGTCCCCTCTCTCCTCCAGGCAGGCCCAGACACAGCCTGGGGGTGCTGGCCTATTTGGGGGAGGCGGGGCCTGGCAGGCTACCCTCCAGCCCATGCACACAGCGGGGGGTCCCAGCCCCGACACCTGGCCCTTGGTGGCCCGTCTGGGTCGAGCCTCCTGTGCTCCCACAGCTGCTGGCCCAGGATCTTCGTGGAGAGATGACTCTGCCGGCCTCCGAGCTCGAGCCCGCACTTCGGGGGAGCCCGCTGGGGCACCAGGTGGCCCAGTTCCTCAGGCTGAGCAACAGCCAGGTGCCGGCCGATGAGGGGGCTGAACGGGGCTGCTGCGTGGGTCCGGGCTGTGCGCGCCCTCAGCCTGGTAGAGCCCCACACAGCTAGCGGCCTCATCATTCGTGGTGCGGGCTGGGCCCTGCCAGGCCACAGGGTGGGGCAGCTGTGGGCCCGTGCTGGGCTGGGCGCTGCCTCCCCACTGGCCCCGCCGGGCCTGGCGTGGGGCTGCTGGGAGGTGCCGAGTGCTAGAGCCGGGGCTCCTGGCCCACGGCTGCCTGCCCCAGCCCCTGGAGAGGTGGCCCAGCCTGGGCCCCGGCCCCCCTAGCACATGAGTCGCTGGCCTGACTCGGAAAAGCTGGAACCAAGGCTGCTTCCCGGCCTTGAGTGGAGCTCGGGGGGAGCCAGGCTCTTGGTGCCCCACAGCATGGCCCCTGCAGCTGGGGCCCGTGCCTCGGTGTCCCCCGCTACACAGGGGCAGAGGTGGGGACGGGAGGTAGCTCTGCGGCGGCTGGAGTGGGCAGTCGTCAGGTGGAGGGGCTGTCTGGGTGGCCTGTCACGAGGTGGCTGTGTCCACCTCTGCTGCTGTAGGTGGCATCCCTTTATAGGATATGGCCACCCCGTGTAGCATGTGGTGAGCAGGGGGCCCTTTGCTCTGAGGCCAGCCTCTGGTACCTTGGGGGACTCCCCAGCAAGCTTGGGGCTCCCAGGCGACCTGCTGTCCTCTGAGTGCCGGGTGGCCTGGGGGTCCTGCAGGGATGGGCAGGTGGGTGCAGGACCCTTCTTTCGGGGAAGACAGGGCACCCCTCCCCATGTGCCCCAGCGGGTGACTTGTGTGTTTACCCCAGCTTCCTCCACAGCGGTGGGGCAGCAGAGGACCCGGGCCCTTAGAGGGTCACACAGGGACCTCCGATCCGTGGCTTTGCTCCCAGGAAGCAGGGGTCTAGATGGGCCTCTGGGTGGGCTAGTGCGAGTCGAACCCAGGACTTTGGGATGTGACAGCCTGGGCTCCTCCTGTTCCCGTGGGTAGAAGTGAGGCTGGGCTGGTGGGTAGACCCTCAGTCCAGGGCCCTGCTGCTGGCGGTGGCTGGCGGGTGGCTGGTGCTCAGGTCTCCTCTGCCTGCCCCCCTGGGGTGCTGAGGCCCCAGGGCATGGGTCCCAGTGCTGCGTCACCCCCAGGAGTTCAGTGCTGTGTGGGATGCCTTGCTGCCCGGTCTGGCCTGTGCGGCAGCCCGTGCTGGGGACCTGGAGGCGCTGCGGGTGCTGGTGGCTGCGGTGAGCTTCCAGCCTCCTCCCCAGCCTCAGCCAGGCCTGGAGGGACGGGGGCGGGGCAGGCCAGCCCTGCCCAAGGGAGTGACAGGCCCTGTGTCCGCCCAGGGCTGTGACCTGAGCATGAAGGACTTTAACGGACAGACCCCACTGCACGTGGCCGCCCGCGTGGGCCACCCTGGAGCCGTCAGCATGCTGCTGTGCAGAGGGGCTGACGTGAACGCCCGTAGCGAGGACGGCCTCAGCCCACTGCTGCTGGCCGTGAGGGGCAGGTACTGGGCGGTCTGGGTGCTGCGTGGACACGGGGGGGGCCGCCACGGGCAGGATGGCCACAGCAGGCACAGAGAGGACCCGTGTTTACCTGGGGCCACACAGCGCCCCTCACAGAGCTAGGGAAGAAGGTGCTTCCCGCAGCCCCACAAATCCTCCACCCTGGGCACCGAGGACTCACAGTGACCGCCGTGGGGGCTGTGCAGAGCAAGGCTTCTGAGAGGAGGTAACCAGCCAGCCCCTGGCCCTGGGTTTCTAGCAAGGAAAACCTATCCGGCCAAAGCGAGAGGGGTCTGGGGGCTCCGTGCTGTAGTTGCCCCTGTGGGTGGGCCCTGGCCGAGGGCAATAGGGCATGAGTTAGAGCCCTGTCCAGACCAGACGAGCAGGTCAAGGTAGGCTGGGGTGTTGCACAGGTGCCCTTGGAGGCAGGGTCAGCCTGAGGGTGTGGGGAGGGGTCCCCAAGCTGGCCTCACCCACCAATCCCTGGCTCTTGGAAGGCAGAGCCTGGCCTGGGTGTGTGGGTGACGGCCACCCTCATGCTGAAGCCCCAGGCCAGTGGGCTGGCTGGCTGGGGTGCAGGTGTGGGGCCCCCGAGGTCTGGGCTCCAGAAGGAGGAGTAGGGTCCCTGCAGGCTGCTGTCGGACCCCGCACCCTGAGAGGTTTCCTGGTCTGCAGTGGTGTCAGGGGGCTGCACCTGCAGTGGGGAGGTTGTAGAGAAACACTCATGAAGGGTCAGTCGCCAATGGGGAGGCTGGGGACAACGGGGTGCAGGGAGAGGTGGCCTTGCTGGGGTCACAGGACTGGCCCTTAGCTCTGATGGCCCCTCCCTGTCATGGAGCCCACGTGGGCAGGGCTTGGGCGGCGGCCAGCGTGTGACAGCACACATGGGCTTTTGAGGCCCCAGACGCCACAGCGTTCCCTGGTGGGGCTGGGTCGGCGTCTCTTTTCTCTGAGGGCACCTGGCCCACGGGGTGATGAAGGCTAATCGTGATGTCTCCCCAACGGCTGGCCTGTCTGGTTGACACTCCGAACTTAGGGCAGATGGGGGTGGTGGAAAGGGGGGCGAGGCAGCTGTGCCTGGGGAGGCTTGGGGCCACGGCGCCCTGGTCAAGGGACTCACGGTCCTGCGAGGCTGCAACTGCCCAGCTGCGGCCCAGAGTGGGGGGCCCGCAGTGTGTCTGCTCCTATAACCTCCCCCCCAAAGGCGGAGGCAGCATCAGTGCTAAGAGTGCATGTGGGTGTGCACATGCACACGGGAGTGTGTGTGTGTGTACATGGGGGACACAGTGCATGGGGAACATGTGTGCGTACAGGGAACATGTGTGTACATGCACATGGGGAACACGTGTGAGTGTGTATATGCAGGAACGTGTGAGCACATGTGTATCACACAAGAACAAATGTGTGAGCATGTATGTGTACGCAGGAACGTGTGCACACATACATGTTAAGAATACACTTGGGAGGCATTGTGCATGTAGGAGCACACGTGTGTGTGTGTGTTTACACAGGAATGTGTGGGGGTCGGGGCCTGGGACTCTGTTTTCTGACAGCAGAAGTGACCTCAGGTGGGGTAGGGGCACAGGTCATCTGACCTGCTAGTCCTGGGGCCACCACCTCTCCCTGGGGCTCTTCCTACACTGTGATCCTGAGTCCCCTCCACTACCATCTTGGGGTCCCCCCCAGGGTTCACCCTGGGTCTCCCCGCCTGTGACCCTGGGTCCCCCTCAACTGTGAGTCTCTGGCGGTTCTTTGTCAACTGCGCTGGACGCTAGGGGAACCTTCTACACAGACATGGTGGGTGTTACTTCAGGCCTCAGACCAGGAGAGGGGCTGGGGGTGTGGGAGGGGCTGGGAGGGCACCCAGCTGGGGGTGGTCTAGGCTGAGATTCCAGAGGGCGTCCTCGGGTGTGGGCGGATAGCATGAGCTCATCTGTCTTGGCCCTCTGTCCCCGCCCTGGCTGTCACAACACCCCCCGGACCGGTCTGGGCTCCCTGACTCGCTCCCCTGCCCAGCTGCCCGCCAGGGGCCCACCTGCCCAGCTGGGCCCAGAAACACCAGCCCGCCACAAAGGGCTCCGATGGGGGAGCACGTAGTCTGGGACCCTCCTCCCAACGCTTCCGAATCTGGGCAGGGAAAGCGGCCCTGTTAGTGAGGACACTGCCCCACGCTACCTCTGCCCCCAGCCCCCTGGCGTCCTCGATGCTCTAGTCCCACTGGTCTGCCCAATGTTCCATTCCCACCCACCCTCAGTGGCAGAACCTGGGCCTGGTTGACTTGGTTTCCCCAGACCCAGCTCGGGGCCTGGCCTGGAGAGGCTGTCAATATGTGCATCTGATTCATGGGGGGACTGTCCCCAGGTGCCCACGGGACTGCACTGGCCTTTGCAAGGGGCCAGGGGAGACCATGTGGGGTTTGAGTTGCTGATAGAGGGCTCTTAGCAGGGTTGACTGAGGCCCCCAGTCCTGAGACCTTGTGGACCTCCGTGGTCTGGGAGGGGCCTGGGCTGGGGTCTGGATGGGCCGTGGCGGTCTGGGCGGGCGGACAGCCCCTCTGAGTACCCGGGCAGGGCCTGGCTGAGGGCGGCCACTCAGCACGGTTTCTCACGGCAGGCACCAGCGGGTCATCAGGCTGCTGCGAGCAGCTGGGGCCTGCCTGTCCGCACAGGAGCTGGAGGACGCGGGGACAGAGCTGTGCAGGTGGGGGCTGCTGTTGCACCTGGGGAGTGGGGCCGGGAGTGGCTGGAGGGAGGCCAGGTCAGCAGCGGGGGGGGGCAGCAAGACCCCCGCCTGCACGTGGCTGCACCTGCTCAGCTGGGATCCGGAGGGATTCCTGCCCAGGCCGTGGGCCGTGGGGTCACCCCGCCGGGTGGCTGAGTCCCGGGTGGGCTCCGTTGCAGGTAGGGGAACTGAGGTAGCCGGGGAGCAGTCAGGCCCGGAGGAAGCGGGGACACCACCCCCGTCCCAGGCTCTTGGGGGTGGGCTGTGGAGGGACAGGAGGAAGGCGCCTCCAGGGGGACACGGACGGGGAGCTGGGGTGCATCTGGGAGGGGTGTGATTCCCCCCAGAGTGACCTAGCGACACTGGGGGGTGGGGGCTGCTGCTGGTACCTGGATGAGGATCCCAGTCGCGGGGGCGCTTTGGCGAAGGCGTCTCCCACTGCTCCCCTGTGTGGGGGTCGGCGTGGGCTCCCCAAGGAGGAGGGTGAGGCAGGCACGGGACGGGGGGCTCTGCACCGTCCCTCCCCCGCCCCAGCCAGGAACCCCCTGTGGTCTCTGGCTCCCTCCGTGAGCTGGTACTCCTCTGAAGCACGCGGCTGACAGCGTGTGGGTGTGCGTGCACGTGCACGTGTGTGCGAGCCCTCTTGAGTCACTGTCACACCCACTCGGTGAAACCAGACTCCAGGTCGCCCAGCTGCCCCAGCTCCTCCGGCCGCAGGGCATGGCGCTGCTGGGTCAGCTGTTTGGGGCGCTCTGTTGAGGGAGGTGGGAGGCGCCGGGCTCTGTCAGCTCTCTCCACCTCCAGGCTGGCCTCCCGGGGAGATGGCAAAGGCCTGCGATTGTGGTGGCAAGCAGGGGCAGACCTGGGGCTGCCGGGCTACGATGGGCGGCCTGCCCTGCAAGTTGTAAGTGCCTCCAGTGCCTCTACTCCGTCTGCCGCCTCCTCCAGGAAGGCTTCCTGGCAGGTCCCCCGCTCCCACCTCCTGACTCGTGGGCAGTCCCTGCTGTCTGGTGCTGGGGTGGGATGGCGGGGGGTGGAGGGGGTGGGAGCGGGGAGGGTGGGGAGAGCCTCCCCTCCCCGACCCGGGCCCCTCCCTGGGCCGACAGCCAGAGGCCCGAGGTGCCTGCTGCGGGGGCAGGTGGAGATTCCTGCGGAGTGTCCTGTTGAGTGGGTCTAGGTCGCAGACCAGCGTTCCTGAGGCAGTCCCCCACCCCCACAGGCAGAATCTACCGGAAACCTGGACGTGGTTGCCCTCCTGCAGCACCTCGAGGGCAGGGCCCCGGACCCTGTGAGCCCCTGCCTGGGCAGGGCTGCTGGCTTCCCGTGATAGATGCCCCGAGCCCGGGCCTGTGGAGCGTGTGCAGTGCTGGGGACAGAGTGGGAGGAGGGGAGACGTCTCCCCGGGGGCTGGGTCGGCTGAGCCCCTCTCGTGGGCCTAGGGTGGGACACACACTACAGGGGGCCGGAGCAGTCTGGGAGGGCTTCCCTAAAAGGGAGGGTGACCTCACACCAGGCCAGCCACTGTGGGGCCCGGAGGGACAAAGCCTCATCAAGCCCTCCTGCCTCCCCAGGGCCTCCTCCACACCCCAGGAACCGGCCTTGACGGCCAGGCTGGGCCCAGCCCCAGCTGACGCCCCCACCCTGCTCTGTGGCCCTGCCTTGGACACCGCCTGGCCTCCACAGCTGCACACATTATATTCTCAGAAAGTGCTGCCTGTTGTCTACCTTGCAGCCCTCCTGCTGCAGTGTAGGCCCTGCCCTCCTGCTGGGACCTGAGTGGGGACCTCCCTCCTGGCTCTATGGTGGTTTCTGTGACTTTCCATGACAAAGCCTGGGAGCCAGCTGGGCAACTGACAATAAAACACGCTCTGTCCCCAGCCCCAAAGCCTGGCTCCAGTGGTCTGTCTGAGTCCAGGACTGTGGCTGTGCATGGTGGGAGGGCCCCAAGCTCTGGGGCAGAGGGAGCGGGGTGGGGAGGGCCACGTGGCCAATCGGCGATGGTGAGGGTGTGAGTCCTGAGCCAGCCTGGGGCTGAGGCAGAGGGTGGCTCAGGGTGTGTGGTAACTGGGCCAGGCAGCCCCCACCCATCTTGATCCTTCTCACTCTTGTCTCTGAAGTCACCTCCTCCGGAAGCCCCCAGCCCTGAGTGAAGCTGCTTTGGCCTCACTCTCCTTGGACGACTCTGTCCAGACTCTGCCCATGGTGTCATCTGGTCTCTGCACTCACAAGGCCCTCAGGTCCTGCTGACCCCCGAATCCCTGGGCACGGGCATGGCAGGGCTCTGAGGTGGCAGAGCCAGCAAGCCGTCGCAGAGACTTCACACCTTCTTGGCACCCACAGCACCCGGTCCCCCACCCACCGAGGGCCAGCCCCTCCCAGGCCGGCTCCTGGAGGAGGCGGGAACAGGAGACCTGGGCCTGCCTCATTTTGCTAGCTGGGCTGGGTAGGTAGGGGCTGGGCCTGCTTCGGGCAGTGTGCTGATGGGTGGGCCTGCTGTGGCCTGAGTGGAGGGTGGGAGGAGAGTGGGCGAGCGGCCGTATGCCTCGTCGGTGGCCCAGCTGGGTTGAAGGCAGTCTGTGGACCCTGGCCGTTCTCCATCCAGATACTGCAAGTTCCAGAATCCCAGCTACCAGCGCTGAGCCTGGCCTGGGCTGGCCTAGGGCCGCCCACCCTCACACGCAGTCTCTGAGCCCTACCCAGTCCCCCACCCTGATGGTACTCTTCTAACTGCCCCCATGAGGCTTGGGTCTGTCTGTCCATTTCTGTCTGCCCGTCTGGCCCAGGACCGGGGACTCAGTCTGAGGCCTGTGCCCTGCTGACACTGGGCAAAAGCTTGACCCGCCAGCTCCCTGAGGC